TTCCTCACAAGTAAACGCAGTCATTACGATATGACAGAACATAAGTAGATTTGTCGGTGCGAACATGACACTGTTATAAAAAATTATTGAGTGTCTAAGAAGTATGCGTATTTAGCGCATGTTCTTCTTATAGATCTGTATTTACTTCCTTATCTTGCCACATTCACTTAATACATCTCTATTTACTTCCCTTGAAAAATATAAAAAACTTGGAGAACCCTACAACTATTCCGTTGTATGTAGTTTGTTGTGTGATAGGTTGTAGGATAGTAGAGTAGGAGAGAATGGTATAGTAGGAAAGGGTAATAGGGTATGGTAGGATAGGATAGTGGGGTAGAAGAGTAGCAGGAGGGTAGTATAATGATAGTGATAGTAGATAGGACAACTGTATGGTGCTCAACATTTTTGATCGGTAGGGTATAAACCTCCAAAATAAATAACAAATGACAGTCAAAACCAACCCCGAAAAATATGCATCGGTGTCTAGTCCTAGCAAGACATGAATCAGTGAGTAGGATTCTGTCTAGTGAAATTCCCTACATTAGTCATTCGGCAGCGACATTAAACTGTAGGTTCCATATACTTATGCGAACCGAAGGACATGCCCAACATATTCAAGAGATTCGCCGACCTCCTAGTTACTGGACATGGCACTTCAAGAAATCAGAACAACACACCTTTGTTACCTTGTGTTTCTAATTTCTAGCTAGGAGCGAACTTTTCTACCTTGACGAAACCGCTTCGAGTATTTCAATCTATCAAGTCCCCTCCAGAAGACCAGACACATAATAGAAACATCTGACACTCCTACCATCTACCAAAAGTACAACTCCGCATGCCAAATCTCATGGTCGACATTCCCGATCCGCAAATACTTGGGGATCAAAAAGCTAGTTGCCGTTGACTCGCAATCTGGATAATGATATCAGGCGGAGTCGTTACCTTAGGTAAACCTTCGGATGCTGTTCCGGGAATGTCACGGACGTCTATTGTTCGACCTGTACGGAGTTCCAGCCAATCATTCATTCATGCGCCCGACAAGAATATCCTTTCCTAAATGGTGTCTTGGTGGGTCTTCAGCCCGACGCAGTTGTCGCGCATATAAATGCCTTTAATCGGCATTCGATGACATTCCCGTAACGCGATCGACTATCGTCCAGCTCGGCCTAACCGTTTTTCGCATGCACCCCGGTTAAGCCGTAAATCTACTTTATGGACACTCCGTGGAACGTCAATGTTTACCGTCCCGACGGTTTACGGTGCAGGCACCAGCCCCGTTGTACATACCTGGTCCATACATGTGCCGGCCTATATATCGACTTTCCCGCGTATGTCTTACTTAAGCGTGGAATCCGTGTGACGCTTCGCTGTATTCTGTTATTTCAGCGTTTTATAACTATTCCCGTTTTACGCCTTCGCGTACCCATCAGCCCGACCGGCTGCATAAAGTTTTTTATAGTTAAGCGTAAAGTGGCTGCGCGTCAGAAAGGATGAGGATGAGTCGACCGGCAGAGGCAAACGGACTTTCTGGAGGCTCGAATGCACCTTTAGCTACCGATCTCTATCGCGATTTGGGAAGATTCATTCCCTGCGTTTAGTGGACCTGCTACGCGTGAGTTACGTACGAGGCAAATCTGTGGAGGAACGGGTGCGATTTTTTCCTAGGAAGGTCGCCTAGGAAGGTTCCCTAGGAAGGTCGCCACCCTGTAATTTGAAAAAGACAGTGACCAGTTACAACCATCAGGAGTTTGTACATTCGATGATGTACTGTTTCTAGGTACCTCTTTGTCATAACCTTATTTAACCTATGAAAGACCAAGGAACTCAGCAAAGGATCCGGATGTTGAATATCTACGAAGGCTACAGAGGCAAAGTTACATTTTGATACTGGAATGCACTTTTGGTGGTTGATCTTTATTGCGTTATGACACGGTATTCCTTGTGATTAGTACACCTGCTACCTGTAAGTTAGGTACGAGGAACATCTGTAAAGGAACCGTTTCGATTTTTCTATACGAAAGTGTGGATTGGTTACGACCCTGTAATTTGAAAAAGACAGTGACCAATTTAAACCATCAGGAGTTTGTACATTCGATCATGTACTATTTCTAGGTACCTCTTTGTCGTAACCTTATTTAACGTAAGAAAGACCAAGGAATTCAGAAGCTGATCCGGATGATGAATAGGCTAACAGAGGCAAAGTTACATGTTGATGCTGGAATGCGCTTTTGGTGGTTGATCTTTATTGCGATATGACAATATATTTCTTGTGATTGGTGCATCTGCAATCTATAAGTTAGGTACCAGGAAATCTGTGAGGGAACTATCTCAAGTTTTCCATACAAAAGTGTGGTCGCGACCCTGTAATCTAGAAGAGACAATGCATTGTTCGGAACATCACTTATATTCCTATATTCAATTCCATACTCTGTTTCTCGGTTGCTCTTTGTTGTCACATTGTATAACATGATGGTGACCAAAAAACTTAGCAATGAATTCGGATGATGAATAGGCTAACAAAAGTAAAGTTCCTTTGTTATACTGCACGTATGCATTTTTGGTGGTCCAACTCTGATCCGATTTGGAGATTTATTCTCTGAGGTTAATAAACTTGCCACGTGTGGATGATCTAGGAGACAAATTTGGGAAGGAACAATTGCGATTTTTCCCGATGAAAATTTGTTCAGAGAACTACAATTAAGGAAGGAAATTGCTTAATTTTTGCCGTTAGATAGAGTCGCTCCTATATATCGTTTTTGGTGCTTCTTCATTGTAATATCGTTCCCTCTCTTGCGACTAAGGAATTTCTTGGCGAAGAAGCCAGATGACGAAGAAACCAACCAAAGCCGACTTTCTGATGGCTCGAGTGCACCTAGAGTGATCGATTTTCTTGCGGTTTGAGAGAAACTTATTTTTCCCTAGTAGTGCCTAGACATACCTGGAGTAGATTCTATACAATAAGCAATAATTAGGTATTGCTGTGAATTTTCAATTACGATCCTACATTTGATAAAGCATACAATTAGGGGGAGAAGACTTTAATAGCCGTCGAATAGCGTTGGTCGATTTGATGTAACACTGTTTCCTTGAAAGATTGTTCAACATCGCAAGTCCAGATAACTCCAGTCCTTCCATTTATTAAATATGATAATTGACATGCTAGCGAAAGCATTAATTCACCTGGGTTATCTTATTCGTAACAAGGAATATCGTGTATTGAAGTAACCACCCCAAGTGACATCACCTACGCTACACCTCACGTAAGGTTTCGGAATGCACGTCAGCATACCGAAATTTCCTACAATTTCTGTTCTATTCCGTCGAGCAAGAGCTTTCGCGTTTCAATCGTCCGAAGAAAGGCGACAATGGGATTTGTGCTCGCCAATGGCGCCCGGAATAACTTTTTCTTTCCGGACTGAGTCGATGGAACTTTTGGTTGCAGAGCTCCGTCTGCAAATGGAAAATCCCGAGGACGTCACTTTAGGAATTATTACGTGAAAGGTATCTCGAATAAATGTTTGCGAGCCGAAATAGCAATTCCATTATCCATTGGCTTTGAAGGCAGAGAGCTCGGTGTTCGCTGCAGGCGCAAATATTACTCTCACACGCTTATCGATTCGGCCCCTTTACGAAACAGCCTCAATGCGGTTCTCGTGTGAATGGCACTCGGTACTTTTCAGCGTACATCGCATTTTCTTAACAACTTGATTTACAGAACGGTCTGCGTGCGTTGTATAGATAAAAACAGAAACATAGACGTTCGTTGCAGCACAAAGTTACGCTGACATCCTTAACTCACCTTTGTTATGGAATTTTGTACTTACCCCATCGCACATGTCTCTCATCTGTCCTTACTAGGGAGTCTTCACTCCCATACTGCAGTGTATAAGTATGTCTATGTATACTATACAGGTTAACATATTTGTCAACTATGTGCAATGATTATCCGAAGTAAGGTGCGCAGACCGTTCAAGTACACGCCGGAGAGTCGTACCTACAAGACCAAAATAAAGAATTCTTAACGATCTACGAATGTGTCCTTTATAACCTCTCTGGGTATATATATAAAAGATATTATACATACGTTCTGATAGTTTCAATTTTTGAAGGGAAACCTTCTTAACCCTTTTATTACGGCAGTCCGCTCTACCAGACAACCACAACTGAACGCGACACCGCACCGAAAGGGTGCACATTGTGTGTCGGCAGTCTTCGGTGTTCGAACTTACGTCTTCCACCTGAACAACGCCTTCTTGACATCCTTTTGTATGTACATTTTTCTAAGTGTTAAATAACAACTGTTTTGTCGTATTATTCCATTATTAAACTTCCAAATTACAATCTAACCTTAAAGATTTAAGAAATTTAAAGTTACCCGGCACTCGTGTGAGTAGGAGCTCTCGTGACCCCTCTTCGATACATCTCCAAAGATTTAAATTATTTAATTACGCATTCGCCAACTTGATTTTGTTTGAATCCTGAGAACCTCCGAATCCGCCGTCCTTCTACAGAAGCAAAATTTTTGTTTATCAATCCTTGTGAACGTACTGTACTTTTCGCTGTAATACCTAAATAAAGAAGTAAATAACCTATTTATATTCTGACTTTAAAAAGTTTCTCCCTGGTCAATAGTACATAAGTGCCACGTCCTAGTTTTAAATAATAAAACATGTACTTACGTATTGTTTAAAAATTAAAACGTATTTTCCAAGAGTGCCTCGACTATAGTTATTGAATAACAGACCCGAACAGCTGATTCCTATAATCTTCCTCGCATGGTGAACATATTGTTCGAACAGATGTTTCATCAATGTGGAAATGTCGTGCTGAAGTTCATTTAGCTAAACCATGAATTTTATGTACGTGGTATGTACGATACGTGACAATTATACGCTATATGTACTTGAGGACGGTACTACGTCGACGCGTATGCCGCAATGTAGGTTTATGGTATATCTCCATATCAGGATCAGCATCATTGGATAATTCTTTGCTTTCAGGTTGCCTGGCTCCGCGTGGACACGCAGACTATCCTAACGATAGCAAAGCATGTTATTACGAAAAACCATCGGATTGGGGTTACCAACAGCGACGATCGTACGTGGTTCCTGCACATCAGAGAAGTCAAGGAATCAGATCGCGGGTGGTACATGTGCCAGATCAACACGGATCCTATGAAGAGTCAGAATGGCTACCTAGACGTTGTTGGTGAGTACACATTTGCGACTTTGCACCTTTACATCTTTCGGCCCTTCAAACTTTACAAGAATGCTACAGAGCGTTCACGAAACTTGTTCAGAGTTGGACTATCCTACAATCGTAACTCACTTCGCTAACATTTCACTTCGTATTTTAATTATATCATCAACGCTTTCCTCCGGGAAACAGCTTCATCGTTTCACCCTCTACGTTGTCCTCTATCGCGTCTTATTAATAGAATCAATCATACATTTCGTATAGGATTGACTAAATTATTGTTTGATTTTGTTTGAACAATTTGTTAGCCGGCTACGGTTCGTCGAAATGACTGGCTTCTTATAAAGTTTTGTCATTGAGTATTTGGAGGGTGGACGGTGTTAAAAAAAATGCGAAAACGATTACTCCCGCAAATTTGATTTTCAAGCCAACGTTGGGGGAAGAACAACCCCTCGAGCGCGTTTTGGGGACGAGGTCGTCACAGTGGAAACCTTCACACGCGGATGGCGCACTTGAAAGTAACGCGACAATTCTAAAGTGTAATAAGTGTGCCCGGGAAAAAGTTGGTTTCCTCTTACTTCAATAAGGCTTAAATGTACTCTCGTACAATGCTGGGCCTTTTGCAATTTTGATGGGTAATCCATCGTTACATCAAAATAGGGAGGTTCTTTCATTACAGTTCTTTAGATGGTAACGGTAGGCCATCATAAAGAGGTTGACGACTCCTCGGTTTACTTCAAAAACTGTAATACGCAGAGTTTATCGAATCAATCATACGCCCGGCTTAAACAATATTGCCTAGAGGAGGTCCAAGTGCCGGGAGATTTTTCCCCGAGCAGCGGTCTTTACGGGCAATAGTATGGAAGTAATGCCTGTTTACATCTGAGCTTACATTCGAGCCGAACAAGGAACGAGAAAACGCGAAATGACTTCACGAGGAAAACGAACATAGATGGGAGCCACTTGGGATGGTTATATCTACTACAGAGGGAGGTCCAGATAACCTAGGCGAAGGAGAGGGAAAGAGAGAAGAGGAATTTGGGAAGGAAAGAACGTGGACGGGAGATGAAAGGGGAAGAGGAAGGCACAGGAGGGTGTGGGAAGAATGAGAAGCGGCGTACTGACGGAACCCGCGGGATTAAATTGGTACGGATGGGGAGCAAGAAGGCTTTCGTGCTGATACCACACAGGATACGGATTTGATTTTAGGGTCCTATTCGGGCACGTTCTTTTTCTGATTGCCACGCAATGGGACTCCAGATCGTCCAGAATAATACCAAACACCATTTTATGATACGGAAATGTAATTTTAATGTTTCAATTCTGAAAATCTTGGGATGAAGACATGCATCAGCTACGGAACAAGTGTAGCGATGTACTAAACCTCATGAGGCGTTCAACAATGAAAGTATCAACGCCAATTGCTGATACCACACAGGATACGGATTTGAGTTTAGGGTCCTATTCGGGCACGTTCTTTTTCTGATTGCCACGCAATGGGACTCCAGATCATTCAGAATAATACCAAACACCTTTTTATGATACGGAAATGTAATTTTAATATTTCAATCCTTAGTATCTTGGGATGAAGACATGCATCAACTGCGGAACAAGTGTAGCGATGTACTAAATCTCATGAGCCGTTCAGCAATGAAAGTATCAACGCCAACTTAGTACATAGGTAGAAACATGTAGTCCATTCTTCGATCAGAAACTCCAGGTCTTTATTTGAGTACACAAGAAATGAAAACCAGGCGGAAGAAACTTTTGATATCTGACTTCCATTTCGAAGTCCAGATACAAGTTCGTACTCGTATCGGTTGGTCGTAGGTCATGTGCATGTTTCGTACACGCGGTTTACATTTACACTTGGTCTTGACACGAGGTTGCGTGTGAATCTTTCAACAGATTTAATCGAGAGATGACAAGTATAGGTTGTAATGGCGGGGAAGCATTGTAGCGACATTCTTGAGTCCGAGAAATATTTAAATAATATTTAAACAAAATTCTTACATTCAGTAGAAGACTCCAGGAGCATCACGGACAACGTGACTGCTACTTCCTCGTGAGTTTCGGATTCGATACCCCGATAATTGCAAAAGGACACTTTCAGCATTTAAGGCAGAGAGCTGTCTCTAAAAACGTCCTCGGACGTTTCCGGAATATATATATTATACGTTTTATTTGCAAACATGTTACAAAATTAGTATACCTTGAATAAAACTTCCAAGAAAAATGTTATAAATTGTTCTTTTTTTAACAGTGTAGTGTAGGTACCCTGGCCAGGACTCGAATCAAAAATGCGACAACCCCGAGTCGTGGTCAATCGTACGTCACCCTGGGTTAACCGAAGTCGCGTACTCGTAACTACCGCAAGTAACTCCAGCCGAGCTGACTACAACTTACCAACTAGCTTCCATGGCAGTTCGTAAGTTTTACCGCGTACTTGCGAACGGTAAGGCTATCCCTCCTGGTCCCGCCATTCTGCGGCCCAGCCCCGGTTTTTCTCTCTAGTCCCCCCAGCCACGTCACCTCCTCTCGGTATATTGCCGCTCGAATACTCCGCGAACTGGATTATGAACGCTAACGGGCCGCTTTCGCTGCTTTTCATCGTTAAGGAAAGTATGGGGTTAGCCAGCAGCCGGCCCGTTCGACTCTTTACTCACTCCTTGCTCTCTACCGTAGTTACGTCGGATCGATCGCGACTCTTAAGTTCCTTAAAACTCTCGGCTGAGAGTGACCGGAACCAGTGGTCGAAGTGCTCCACCGCAACTTCCAATTCGAATTAGGCTACCATCGAACCTTTCCTTAACCGTCCGAAGACCTAACTGGTCCCAATTGATTCCTTCGAAGTTAGGCCGACCTGATACGTGAAGCATTCGCAATCTCTTAAGATTGTGTGTTCATTGATTATAGGGCAATTATGTCGATTCCATGTCATCTTTTAACCCTTTCGATACGAGCGCTCTGTCCACCGTGAGATTCCCGCTGTACGAGGCGTCATTCCGAAATGCACACATAGCGCGTACATACAGGCTGTCACGTGGATGCCGGATATATCCGGCGTTAATACACACAGGTCATCAGATGGATGCCGGATATGTCCGGCACTCGTACACACAGGTCATCAGATGGATGCCAGATACATCCGGCGCTCGTACCGAAAGGGTTAAACCTTAGCTGGTCCCAACTGATTCCTTCAAAGTTAGGCAGGCCTGATACGTGAAGCATTCGCAACTTTTATAATTGTGTGTTCATTGATTATAGGGCAATTATGTCGATTCCATGTCAACTTTCAAGCCTTATCTGGTCCCAACTGATTCCTTGAAGGTTAGGCACGCGATACGCGAAACATTCGTAACCTCTAAAGATTGTGTGTTCATTGATTATAGGGCAATTATGTTGGCTCCAAAATTAGGCTTCCTTCGAAGTCAGGCTTTCAAGGCAGGCCTGATACGCGAAGCATTCGCAACCTCATAAGATTGTGTGTTTATTGATTACAGGGCAATTATGTTGATTCCATGTCAACTTTTAAGCCTTAGCTGGTCCCAACTGATTCCTTCAAAGTTAGGCTCCAAAGTTAGGCTTCTTTTAAAGGTAGGCTCCAAAGTTAGGCTTCCTTCGAAGTCAGGCCTTCAAGGCAGGCCTGATTTGCGAAGCATTCGCAACCTCTTAAGATTGTGTGTTCATTGATTATAGGGTAATTATGTCGATTCCACGTCAACTTTCACGCCTTTTGACACTTCCCTTAGAACGAGGGCAGCCGCGTGTATGATTTTTTGTGTATATAGAAGTCCGCCATGCATGCATACTTTGTCGAAAGTAGTCTAACGCATGTAGCCATAGATAATGATTCCTTAACACGTTGAGTGCGGCGTCGGTCCCTGGGGACCGACAGTGAACTTTCCGTCTGGGCGGCGTCGGTCCCTTGGGACTGACACGGCATCAAGAATCCTATATATAAAAAATTGTGCCGCCCAAACGGAAAGCTCAGCAAAATCGGTTCCGCGCTCAACGTGTTAATGGCTGAAACGGTTGTGATCACTGATTCTTCACTTATTCATTGCTATCTGCTACAAGCATATTGGATCGATACAAACTCTAACCCTTAAACTTCCCTTTATCTTTATCTCACCCTTAAGGTGATATGAAAGTGTGATATATACGTACTAAAAATCAGCATATTTATGAAACTTTTCTCCAAACTGGGCGCACCGAATTATTTGAAACTCCAGCACGTGATTATGGAGGCTCTAAGGAAGAACGCGCTGCTCGTGAAATTTCATTTTTCGTAAAAAATTTTGCATTTACCTCAGACAAGAACCAAAAAAAGATATTTTCTTTCGAAAAATGAAGTTTCACGAGCAGCGCGTTCTTCCTTAGAGCCTCCATAATCACGTGTTAGAATTTCCTATAATTCGGTGCACCCAGTTTGGAGAAAAGTTTTGTAAATATTTTCACTTTTTGGTACGTATATATCACACTTTCATATCACCTTAAATGTCCCAGCAGGAAATCACTGAAATCAACGGCCGGAGATCCTTATCGCAGCTTCCGATTGGAATTAAGCGGATATTATCGAACCCTTGGTGGTCATCCCCGAAGGCTTTCAAACTGATCCCAATTGATTTCTCAGCAGCCAGATCTGGTGAATGGAGTAACCGCAATTACTTACTCGTGATCAAGGGGGAATTTCAGATCTCTTTAAAAGCGGCCCTAGAGTCAGTCTGGTCGTGAAACGCACCGCATGTCGTTTATTACCATGTACGCCACCTTGGAATTACGAGCTGCAATTATCGCATAAAAGCAAGTTTTACAGCGAATGCTAAGTGGCTACCACTCGCTTGGATGCTGAAATTGATATCACATATGAAGAATGTGATTACTTTTTTCACTGACATTCGGGATGGTCTGGGAGAATCAGTCCAAAGCCTTAAGGTGATATGAAAGTGTGATATATACATAACAAAAAGTCAAAATATTTATTTAACTTTTTTCCAAACTGGGTGCAC